GGTCCGTCTGAGATGGGGGCTGCGACTGCAGCTGGAAGCCCGGCTGAGATGAGGGCTGTGACTGCAGCTACTCAGGACCAGACGGGGACTGCTGCTGCTCGAGAGGTTACCTTCTTCACCTGCAGCCTTTGCCCCAGGAGATGGGGTGTAGCTCTATGACTGCCTGTGGCTGCAGGTGGGAGTCAGGCTGGGGCCGAGGCAGCGGCTTGGGCTCTGGATGCAGCTGCTGCGGGGAACCAGGCTGGAGCTAAAGCTCTGGAGCAGGAGGGGAGAGAGGTGACGCCACCTGAGCCTTCATTTGCCGGTAGATTTCATCACGGAGATTGGAGCGTTGGAGGGCATGGGGTTACGTGCGTAGTTTTGGGAACGGTCAGGGGGAGTAAGTGTGCAGAGGAGGTCACAGCAATTCCTCCGCTGGCCGCTCGGCAATTATGAGCACGGGAAGGAGTTTCCTCAGCTTAACTCCAGAGCATGGAGAGGAGCGTGTGCAGCTGGGAGGAGAAGCCACAGCAGGAGGAGCGGTAAGGCTTGATAAATAAATTTGATCTTACATACAATGGGTACGGAAAGTATAGAGACCCCCTTAAATTTTACTCTTTGTTATATTGCAGCCATATGCTAAAATCATTTAAGTTCATTTTTTTCCTCATTAATGTACACACAGCACCCCATATTGACAGAAAAACACAGAAGTTTTGACATTTTTGCAGATTTATTAAAAAAGAAAAACTGAAATATCACATGGTCATAAGTATTCACCTCCTGTCACAGACATAAGTATGGGAGCGAAGGTCAGACATCCTCCCATTTCTTCCTCCAGCACTTCATGAATGAAATCCCTCCCTGCTGAGCGGTGAGTCCCGGATATCGTTTAGATTAAGTCTGCAGTCCTCCATGTATTCTCACTTGTGTTTGTTTTATAATTGATTTATTCATCCACTTTTCTTTCAATAATAAACTATTTAATGTGCAATTCCTGTGAGTTCCTGTGATGAAAGATTCATACTGTCGATTTTTAGTTTTCACCTACACTTTAAAAGTCTTCATCTGAAAGCACTGGTTTGGTTGGCGCAGTAAAAACAACATTTTCCTGTCTGGTTTTCTAATATAAAATATGAAGAATATTTAATTTGACTGATGAGGGTCATTATTATAAAGATAGTGTTTTTGTTTGTTTGGTAAGTACATGTTAAGTACATCTTGTCAGTCAGAATGAAATATCCTGATGTAGAGTACTTTGAAAAGTGCACTCATATGTCATCATAAACCACATTATTATGATTTACCATTTAGATTCATTCTGAAGATGTTAGATATTACCAGGCATCTGAGGAAAAGTACAACCGGGTCATGTACAAACAAATGTTTTCTTTTTCACAGATTTGACACCACATAAAAAAGAAGACAGTTAAAAAAAGGGGAAGTGGCAAATTTACTGAATCTCAAAACTCAAAACTGCTTTGTGTGGTCACACAGCTTTCTCCTTCCCATTTTTATTCAACCACCAAACCTACAACTGCTTTTAAGAGAAGCACATTAAATCACATTTTTGACCATCTTTCCCACATTTTCACACCGACTCATCTATCTGGGTGAAACAGACCAAAATGCCACTGAAGCAAAATGACATGTTAAACATGACGACCAACGTTTACCATCCAACCTGACAGCACTGGAGAGGATCTGCAAGGAGGAATGGCAGAGGATCCCCAAATGCAGGTGTGAAAAACTTGTTGCATCATTCCCAAAAAGACTCATGGCTGTATTAGCTCAAAAGGGTGCTTCTACTAAATACTGAGCAAAGGGGCTGAATACTTATGACCATGTGATATTTCAGTTTTTCTTTTTTAATAAATCTGCAAAAATGTCAAACATTCTGTGTTTTTCTGTCAATATGGGGTGCTGTGTGTACATTAATGAGGAAAAAAATGAACTTAAATGATTTTAGCATATGGCTGCAATATAACAAAGTGAAAAATTTAAGGGGGTCTGAATACTTTCTGTACCCACTGTAGATCATTGAAAAATGAAGCGAGTGGAAACGTAGTCTCTAGGTATAAGTCTTGGAGCTAAGATGTGTAGAGGAGCTTCTCAACGAACTGGCGTCTGCTCAGCATCTTCCAGGAGCTTATGTAGTAGAGCATTGCTGAAATGACTCCCAGCTGTGCACCGCACCCAGGAATTCCGTACCTGCCGAGAGAGAGAGAGATGAAAAAAAGAGCGAGAGAGCAGCAGAGCTAAGCAGCCCTGACAGTTACCCTAAATGCTCACCGGGTATCTTGCTTAGAACAGAACAGTTGTATCTTATTGATCATGAGCTATTTTGTTTCAGATTAGCCATTTTTTTGGCTTCAATTCTGTGCATTTTAATTAATGTACTTTGACCTTAATGAATACAACCATCAGTCATCTACATCAACTGTAATTACTGTGACTAAGCCTAATATTTTCAAAATTCATTAGGGCCCTCTATCCAATCCGCAATCTATACAACACCAAAGTTAGAGAGTTCATAAGATTAACACATGAGGTAAAGTTGCAAATTGCACCGTTTGCACCATTTCAGCTCTTGTGTAGTTTATAAAAACTTTGTGCTGTGACCCTCATATACTTTCAGGTGATATAACTGAAATAAACATTCATACATCTAACAAGTCTTCAGTGTCCTCTGCATATTTTTGTCCAACCTATAAATGCTCATGGACCACTAATGGAAGACACAGTGACACTTTGTCAGGTGATACCGCAGCTATTGAAATTTCAAATCACATGCATAGATTAGATAGATAGGCCAGAGAGAAAGCATTTAACCCCCTATACTTTTTTGCACTTTATTATGTTATATATTTAATTTTTAATGTTCGTAAAAATATGTTAAATTTAATCAAAAAACCTAAACTGACAATATATACAAGAAGCCATTTTTAGCATCATGACTTCTCCTATACATTTGAGATGCTATGATGTTCTCTGAGTATTAATTTGCATAGCTTGCAATTTTATACACTTCCCCTTTTAATTCCCTCAGCGACTGCATGTGTGCTTCCCATGTGATTTGTGGTAATTTCTGCAGTGTGTCCACACCTGCACCTGTGACACACATTTAAAGTCAAATGCTTGATTTGGCAAGTTACTTCATCCCAGTATATGGTACACTTATACCAAATATCAGTTCAGTCAATCAACATGACCAGCAAGAAAAGAACCAGCAGTATTTTTCCACACAAATCTGTGTTGATACTGTTGGACAGCATCTTGTTATTCTTGTTCAGACAGAAGGGAAGAAGCAAAGTTACAAGTATAGAAGTAATAAAGTTATAAATTATCTTATTTCTAATTTGTTACAAGTTCATGTGTTGAAATACACCACACTGCC